TGGGGTACCCTGACGGCATTGGGGCGAGCGCTGTCGACCCCTATATCCGGTGGAAGTACTAACAGAAGTCTCAACAGTAGAGATCTCAATGGTAGGAGTCTTACATCTCTCAGTAGTAGTCATATTAACAATAATATGTAGGCACCCGTAACAGAAAAAATAACTCTAAGATAAATAGTAGGATAAAATAAGGGAGAATAATATACCCCAAGTCGAACAATAGTGACAGATAAAGAAGGTCCAGAAAGTTCTCAAATAATCAAATCACGGTGCCCAGAAATCCAATAAATATATAAGTGATCTACTGCATCAAAAACAGATCAACGGGAAAGAGGATCCAACCTCTCTTAAAAAAGTCCTAGAAACTGCACCTCTAGGAAAAAGAAATCAGTGGCGCAAAAAGATGGCTACATTGTGATGAAGAACGCGAAGCACAAAGGCGTGACAGACTAGCGCTGGGACTGCCTGAGCGCGAGCTGGGTGCTGCCTGGGCAATGCCTAGTGCTAGGTTGGGCGAAGGCTAGGCTTTGGTGGATACCACGTGATTGTGGGGTAGCTGGGCAGTGGACAGTAGGCAGTGATGTCGTCACTAGGTTGGTTGGGTCGTCACTGAGTTGGTTGGGTCGTGGGCAGTAGGCGTGATCGCCGTCGCTGGATTGGTTGATGTCGTCGCTGGGGGTTTGGGGCTGTCAGTTTGTGGATGCTGGTCGGTGCTTTATGGTGGAGAAGTGGCTGTCGATTTGTGTATGCTGGTCAGTGCTTTATGGTGGAGTTGGTTTGTGATGTTGGGGTGGTTTGGTATTACTGTCGTTTATTGGCTGCCACTGGTGTTGTGGTTAGTCGGTGGAGCGGGCTTGCTATTTGACGAGGGATGCGGGTTTGCTTGGTATTTTTGTTAGTGGGCTTGTCGGTGGAGAGGGCTATCTGGTTTGTCGGTGGTCTTGGTATTGACGGCTGCCAATCGCCGGTGAGGATGATGGAGAAGGTTAGGGTTAGGGTTAGGGCATGACTCTGATACCAACTTGAAATAAACGTGAGTGAAAATGGATACAAACTAAGTGTAGAGCTTCGTATATATAGTCAAATAATAATACAAAATGATCTAAATATCATTGTGGTCTAGGCAAAATATAAAGTCATAGTAAAGGTAAAAAAGGGAAAAGAAACCCTAATAAACTAAACTATACTCCAACAGCTTCTAGGCAACAGGCAGTCAGGTGTTGATCGATATATGTAGTCAAGTATCATCCTAACATGGTTATTAAAATCCCAATCCAGATAATTGGATCGTACGATCTGATACACAAAAATCGATCTGAGTCTCTTCAAAAATTCTAAGTTCATAGGATTTTAATGAATTATGATCTGAATCTTGTAGGATTGTAGGACCCCAAACTAAGTGTGATTTACTAATCCAAGTTATTGGGTTTATTTGTCAGATGCCTTTAGCTATTGAGCTGNAGCTTTGATGGTATGAGTGAGACCAGTGTTCCAACAAGTAGGTGTCTCTAGTAGTAATCCTACGATGATGTACAGTCCAATGCCAAGACAGTTTTTCCATGCAGCGTCCCAATGCAGTACGCTAAGATAGGCACTAAATAGAAAAGATTATAAAGGACCTTACCGTCATGTAGCTGTACTGAGCNCAAATATGAAAGGCACGAGGTATACCTATAATAGTCGCAGCAGTAGTAATCGAACCTTAAGAAGTCAGGACTGACATAAGTATATCCAAGCGAGAAGTGATAGCATCTATATCACTCTGCCAAGGAGGAGCAGTAGCAGTAGTAGCAAGAGCAATGACTATAGGTGGTGGTGCCTCAGCAATAACAGCATTGTGGCTACGGGGAGGCGGCTTAAGTTCCGAATGAAACTTCCAACAAGCAGTCCTGAGATTGTCCTAGTCCACCACAATAATCACACTGACGAGAATTCCCTTGCCTACGTTGATATGGGGTACCCTGACGGCGTTGGGTCGACAGCGTTGATATGGGGTACCCTGACGGCATTGGGGCGAGCGCTGTCGACCCCTATATCCGGTGGAAGTACTAACAGAAGTCTCAACAGTAGAGATCTCAATGGTAGGAGTCTTACATCTCTCAGTAGTAGTCATATTAACAATAATATGTAGGCACCCGTAACAGAAAAAATAACTCTAAGATAAATAGTAGGATAAAATAAGGGAGAATAATATACCCCAAGTCGAACAATAGTGACAGATAAAGAAGGTCCAGAAAGTTCTCAAATAATCAAATCACGGTGCCCAGAAATCCAATAAATATATAAGTGATCTACTGCATCAAAAACAGATCAACGGGAAAGAGAATCCAACCTCTCTTAAAAAAGTCCTAGAAACTGCACCTCTAGGAAAAAGAAATCAGTGGCGCAAAAAGATGGCTACATTGTGATGAAGAACGCGAAGCACAAAGGCGTGACAGACTAGCGCTGGGACTGCCTGAGCGCGAGCTGGGTGCTGCCTGGGCAATGCCTAGTGCTAGGTTGGGCGAAGGCTAGGCTTTGGTGGATACCACGTGATTGTGGGGTAGCTGGGCAGTGGACAGTAGACAGTGATGTCGTCACTAGGTTGGTTGGGTCGTCACTGAGTTGGTTGGGTCGTGGGCAGTAGGCGTGATCGCCGTCGCTGGATTGGTTGATGTCGTCGCTGGGGGTTTGGGGCTGTCGGTTTGTGGATGCTGGTCGGTGCTTTATGGTGGAGAAGTGGCTATCGATTTGTGTATGCTGGTCAGTGCTTTATGGTGGAGTTGGTTTGTGATGCTGGGGTGGTTTGGTATTACTGTCGTTTATTGGCTGCCACTGGTGTTGTGGTTAGTCGGTGGAGCGGGCTTGCTATTTGATGAGGGATGCGGGTTTGCTTGGTATATTTGTTAGTGGGCTTGTCGGTGGAGAGGGCTATCTGGTTTGTCGGTGGTCTTGGTATTGACGGCTGCCAATCGCCGGTGAGGATGATGGAGAAGGTTAGGGTTAGGGTTAGGGCATGGCTCTGATACCAACTTGAAATAAACGTGAGTGAAAAGGGATACAAACTAAGTGTAGAACTCCGTATATATAGTCAAATAATAATACAAAATGATCTAAACATCATTGTGGTCTAGGCAAAATATAAAGTCATAGTAAAGGTAAAAAAGGGAAAAGAAACCCTATTAAACTAAACTATACTCCAATAGCTTCTAGGCAACAGGCAGTCAGGTGTTGATCGATATATGTAGTCAAGTATCATCCTAACATGGTTATTAAAATCCCAATCCAGATCATTGGATCATACGATCTGATACACAAAAATCGATCTGAGTCTCTTCAAAAATTCTAAGTTCATAGGATTTTAATGAATTATGATCTGAATCTTGTAGGATTGTAGGACCCCAAACTAAGTGTGATTTACTAATCCAAGTTATTGGGTTTATTTGTCAGATGCCTTTAGCTATTGAGCTGTGCCAATCTATATTTATTTTCTTAACACTTGCCTAGACCATATGTGATTTCCTTGTACAATAATCAATCTATTAAACAATTTGGTTAGATAAGACAGGCTATACAAATCTCTCTGGTTAAAGAAAACTCTCCTCTTTCATTCGCATCTCTCGTTGAAAGTTGAAAACAACGATTTGGTTTGTTCTTTTATTCCACAACAAATGATTACAGCCAGGTAAGTCTTCCATTTTCATTTTCCTCTGTTTTTTGTTGGATTCTGAATAGTCCAAATTTGTTACTCAATACTTTCTTGACTTTGTTCAGCTCTTCTCTCTCTGTCTTTCACTTAAAGTTAAGATCAAAACATTCCAATTCTCATATTTCTCTTAACAAAATCTTACAAGATTAATTTTCTAATTATAGTTTCTCAAGTTTTAATTATGTCTCGAAATTCAATATATTTGTCATAACATTTATACATTTTATATCTCTAAATTCTAAGAATTTTGTATTGTTACATTTATTTTTAATCTTATTTTTAAGTATGTACAATCTTACAATTCTTGACCTGATACTACAATTCCGATTTTAAAAACCATGCATCCTGATAGTACTATTTAATGGCTAAAAACTCGGTAGATAAGGATTATGTCTTAACTTCGGTGTTGATTACTTTCAAACTTTTCTGCAAGTTGCTTATCTCAACTTCGTTTGGGTCTTGATATTTGTTTTGTTTGAATTAGCTCCTCTACCAGCTAGACATAAGAAATGTCTTCCGTCATGGGGATCTTCAGGAGGAAATGCAAGTGGATCAGCCAAACAACTCACATAATGCGTGCAGGTTGAGAAAGCAATTTATAGACTCAAACAGTCTCCTAGGGATTGACCTGATAAATTCAACCGGGGGCAAGTGCTTATGGGTTGAAAAGATTTAAGCCTGATCATCCTACATCTTTTGGGCATAGTGAAAAGGGCACTAGTGCATAATGGCAAAGTAAGATTCATGTAGCCGACCCCAAAAATGTTGGGACAAGACTTTGTGGAGTTAAGTGAAGTGAAAAAGAGCACTAGTATTCCTTTTGTTTACATAGATCATATGGTAATTACTATTCAGGATGTTGAGGGCATATGTTTTGTGAAACTCTACTTCATTGAACATTTTTAGATGAAAGATTTGGGGAAGCTACTTTACTTCTTGAGTGTCGAAATAGCAGGCCCATGGATGGAATATCACTGTAATAAAGGCAATATGCCCATGATGTTTTTGATGTGACTGGTTCGATGGAGACCAAACTCGTTGATACTATAATGGATCCAAATACCAAGCTCAGTAGAGATGAATGATAACATTTAGATGAGCCAGGGAGATATTAAAGATTTTTGGGCAGGTGATCATCTAGACCAAACATCTTTGTCAACTATCTGCATGTTTGTTGGAGGCAATCTTGTTACATGGAAGAGAAAGAAACAAAAGGTGGTAGCTAGGTCTAGTGCTGAGGCCGAGTACAAAGCCATGGCTCACACAGCTTTGATGGTATGAGTGAGACCAGTGTTCCAACAAGTAGGTGTCTCTAGTAGTAATCCTACGATGATGTACAGTCCAATGCCAAGACAGTTTTTCCATGCAGCGTCCCAATGCAGTACGCTAAGATAGGCACTAAATAGAAAAGATTATAAAGGACCTTACCGTCATGTAGCTGTACTGAGCAGGAATACCAAACTCCAAACCAGGTTCACTTGGCATACGTTGGATGCGTAACCCTATTAAACCCAGTTCTTGCATGACCTGCATCCAAATAGTCCCATCACAATTCACGGCCTCTATGTTATGCTTGAAATTAACACTAAAGTACTGTAAAAAGAATAAAAAAACACTTAAAACATACTGGATGAACACAAGAAGGAATAAGGCCTAGATCTTCCCCACAAGCCAGCATATCTGATGAGTTTAAGAGGACAGGCAGAGTCTTCAAAGCATTTTGACGCCAAAGAACTTCTTGCCGATGGAAATAGTAATCATAGTATAGTCTTTTCAAAACACTTTTGCTGTATCATTGAAAACCATGAAAGATGTTACATTGGTAGCAAACATGTTATAGATCATGAAATGTAGAGATATCAAAAAGAGAAATGAAAGAAAGAAATCAAGCATAGATATTTGAGGTCATGCTACCAAGTTTTTCAATTTCAGTATCAGATGATGTCACCACTAATGACTTCCCCATGCAAGGTATATATCACGTACCTGTGCTCATCCAAATCCTTGAAGCTAGAAGTATCTTCGAGATTGAAACGAGGGAAAAATTTTCTTGCATCCTCTGGATCCCTGATGAGGACTATATTCTGCAACAATAATTTAAAGGATCAAAATTTAGAACTATGGCACCTGAAACTTGTATCAACACTGCGGCAAGAACTTCGACAAGTTTATAAAATGAGGGATCAAAGTTTACATTTAATCTTTCAAACTAACCTGCAGGAGATCAAAGAGATCGCGCCTTATTCTGTCTTCGCTGTCCAACAGCAAGGACCTTTCTAGACATGACTTAAGCTTGGATGCAATTTTTTTCTCAGTTCCACAGTCCTCCTTGAACTACAATAAGAGAAGGGAAAAATAATGAATCAAAAACATGATCCTCCAAAGAGTGCTTTATAGAAGAAGATTAAAACTATCACATTAAAACGCACAGCAGCTCTGTTGAAGCACATATATGTCCAAAATGAAAAGTCAGCATCTCCAATTGGGGTAAGAGGAAATATCGTTTTGATGGACACATAAGGATGAACATCAAACTCATCCCTACGACCTTAAAAATTGTTTTATTTTGGTAAATAAATATTTCTTACCATTTGCATAATTACTACGTTGATTTGAAACGTCAAATGTAGAAGGTAACATAACCAGGTGACAGAAGTTGAGCAAGTATCATAAGTTGGCCAGGTATACAGTAAAAAAGAGAGACAACAAGAGAGAGAGAGAGATGCTAAGAGCTAGAGAAAATATGAAGCCAGAAATCATTCAATGTGGACAACAAAATAGCCAGCAAGACCGATCTATAATTTGGGCCCAATTTGTGCACCTCTTTAACTGATGACTGAAAGAAAAAAGGGGAGAATGGAGGATATGCGTTCTTCAAAAATGTAGCCCCAATAATGGAGAACAGTCCGTACAGGAGTAAATTTCTCAGGTTGCTTTCACTCATCTGCTAAGGAAAGATCTCTCCATATCATTGCGTTCAAAGGCCAAGCAAATACTAACTTTATGTGCATTTTCAGTTTTGCATTATTTTCGTGTCAAAACATCTTGGCAGAAATTAAATGAATGGGGAAAAATAAACAATAAACAGCATAACAAATTCGGCATTTTTCGCATGATTGAATGCCCAAAAATAAATTTTAGTGCTTACGTATAAAAATGTTCTAACATGAGAATCTTTTAGCTTGACTGTGTACCATGGTTGTGTAGTTTTTCTGAAATATCTGCTGGGTCCAGTTTCGCATCATGAAATTCTTAGGTCATTTAGTAAGGTGTAGAAATCAAAGAAGTAGCTGATCTATAGTTCCCAAAACTATAATACTCACACATTTAATGCTCCAAAATAAGCATCCATGGCAAAAATGCATGTAACACTCATTGAGATATGTTTAAATCCGTGCATGACACCATCAGAGTTTTAGGATTATAGCATGGTTTGCCATTTTGATCAAACTTCTGAAAAATGTACACCGTGGTGAGGAAAGACCTTATGAAAGTATAATAATAGCAAAGCTATGATGGTAGAGTTTAGATAGTCCCTATTTCCTCCCTCCTGCATACCTTACAGACTCTTTCACTAAAGTGCTTGCCCTGGTTTCGTATTATTCCTATACCTCTACTACATCAACTTTCTTCTTACATTTCTATGTTCACAATGCGCTGTTGCCAGTAACCAGGTTTTCAATAAATGTTCCCATAGATGTGGAAATACTATTACCGCAATGCAACATGTGGAACTGTCATAGGTTTCAACTTTCAACAACAAAGAAAGAGACAAAAAAAAAAAANTCACTTGTCAACCCAATGAAGGATATGTCATTCTCCAACTACACTTTATATCCAAATATTGCTGTGGATAAATCAATTTTTGAACAATTTTAGCTAGAAGCACATCCATGGAATAAAATGGGCATTTCAAACCCCACAAATTGGTCTGTGTAACACAGTAACACCGAGTAAGAAGTCAATTTGATGCAAGTAATCCAATAGGGTATTTTTGATCCAGACAAACTCGGCGCAATTAGTTCACCCCCGAGTAATTCAAAGGTGGCATAATTGATTTTGATCCAGCGAAGCTGATTCAGCTCGGAAAGGAAATCGGTAACTTTTGGGTATTAGGGTCCGATAAATGAAATTGGATATAATTGTAAAACTAAATTTAAAATATCTAAGATTTAATTATTGATTAAAAAGCAGAATTGGCTAAAAAAAATAATGAAAGGTTCAGATTTGGGGTCCAATTTAAATTGGACAACCCCAAATTTTACTAAGGTGTAAACTGCACAATTAATTTGCCATGCAAAGTAATCATGGAAGGTGCAGTTTTGGACTATAAAAATGGAGCCCAGGCTGGTTGAAATGGTGCCTGAATCATGTGGAAAGAGGGAGAATTGAAGAGAGAAAAAGAAAAGAAAAGGGGGAAGGTTCTGCCAAATTCAAGCTTGGTTCTGGATCTGAAGCAAGTGTGAGGTTTTGAGTGTCCATGAATTGATTTTATGGCTTCAATTTGGCTCAAAAGGGTTGAAATTGGCCAAGTTAGGAAACAGGCCTGAAAAACCTGAAGTTAGGAGAAAATTGAATTTTTGAGATTTTGTACATTGTTATTGGATTAATACATCATTTAACCCATGTAAATGATTACTAACACTTCTGTAAGCTTTGATTTCAGTGTGTGTGGAAGACTAATAATGAAATTAAAATCAAAGGTTTTGGGAAAATAGGAACCTTGGGAAACATTTTTTGGGTAAAAGAAGGACCAAAGCCCATGTTTTTGATCATGAGAAACTTAACTGGAGTATTTGATGTCATAAAATAGCACTGGAGTTGGTCCAATCTCAAATTTTCAGAGCTTGAATTTTCAGCCATGGAAGCTGAAAACCTCATGCTCAAAATTGAGGTTTTTGAGGCAAGCATGGATCTAATTGAGCCAGCTGAGGGATAGAGAATACATAAAACGAGTAATCTAGGGTTTGAATCACTGAACTNTGAGGCAAGCATGGATCTAATTGAGCCAGCTGAGGGATAGAGAATACATAAAACGAGTAATCTAGGGTTTGAATCACTGGACTTGGTGGAACTATAAGAGAGGAATCAAGAAAAACCCGAAAACCTTGAACCTTGCGTCAAAACAGACCCGTTAAAAGAAGATGATGAATAGTGCTATTTTGACCCTAGCCACCCACAACAGCGTGTGAGCCACATAATCAGGGTGTGATTTCGACAGAAATATTCCTCCTCCCAAGACGTTTCCAACAAGATCAAGTTTGACCTGTTTTGACCCCATTTAACATAGATCTAAATTTGGTCATTTTACGCAATTTTGGATCACTGCAGTTTTTAGTTATTTAATTTAGGGATTATTTTGGTTTCAAATGGGATCCAGTTATAATGACTCTGAAATATCTTGTTTGTTTTGTTTGACATCATCCAGTATGTCATTTAAACTTATTCAGTGGTAGGTTTTTCCTATTCTGTGCTGGTATCTTGGTGTATTGTAAAGATAAAGAGACACATGTTGAACATCTAAAGACTGTTTTGCAACTTTTGAGGCAAAANGTCATTTAAACTTATTCAGTGGTAGGTTTTTCCTATTCTGTGCTGGTATCTTGGTGTGTTGTAAAGATAAAGAGACACATGTTGAACATCTAAAGACTGTTTTGCAACTTTTGAGGCAAAGCCAGTTGTATGCCAATGCTAAAAAGTGTAGACTTGTGGTGGACACTTAGAGTTCTTGGGGTTTCCTGCGCCAGCTAAGGGAGTGGAGACAGATGCCATAAAGATTCAGGCTACCTCAAAGACATTGACAAAAATCAGAAGTTTTCATNTAAAAAAATAATGAAAGGTTCAGATTTGGGGTCCAATTTAAATTGGACAACCCCAAATTTTACTAAGGTGTAAACTGCACAATTAATTTGCCATGCAAAGTAATCATGGAAGGTGTAGTTTTGGACTATAAAAATGGAGCCCAGGCTGGTTGAAATGGTGCCTGAATCATGTGGAAAGAGGGAGAATTGAAGAGAGAAAAAAAAAGAAAAGGGGGAAGGTTCTGCCAAATTCAAGCTTGGTTCTGGATCTGAAGCAAGTGTGAGGTTTTGAGTGTCCATGAATTGATTTTATGGCTTCAATTTGGCTCAAAAGGGTTGAAATTGGCCAAGTTAGGAAACAGGCCTGAAAAACCTGAAGTTAGGAGAAAATTGAATTTTTGAGATTTTGTACATTGTTATTGGATTAATACATCATTTAACCCATGTAAATGATTACTAACACTTCTGTAAGCTTTGATTTCAGTGTGTGTGGAAGACTAATAATGAAATTAAAATCAAAGGTTTTGGGAAAATAGGAACCTTGGGAAACATTTTTTGGGTAAAAGAAGGACCAAAGCCCATGTTTTTGATCATGAGAAACTTAACTGGAGTATTTGATGTCATAAAATAGCACTGGAGTTGGTCCAATCTCAAATTTTCAGAGCTTGAATTTTCAGCCATGGAAGCTGAAAACCTCATGCTCAAAATTGAGGTTTTTGAGGCAAGCATGGATCTAATTGANAAATTTTACTAAGGTGTAAACTGCACAATTAATTTGCCATGCAAAGTAATCATGGAAGGTGTAGTTTTGGACTATAAAAATGGAGCCCAGGCTGGTTGAAATGGTGCCTGAATCATGTGGAAAGAGGGAGAATTGAAGAGAGAAAAAAAAAGAAAAGGGGGAAGGTTCTGCCAAATTCAAGCTTGGTTCTGGATCTGAAGCAAGTGTGAGGTTTTGAGTGTCCATGAATTGATTTTATGGCTTCAATTTGGCTCAAAAGGGTTGAAATTGGCCAAGTTAGGAAACAGGCCTGAAAAACCTGAAGTTAGGAGAAAATTGAATTTTTGAGATTTTGTACATTGTTATTGGATTAATACATCATTTAACCCATGTAAATGATTACTAACACTTCTGTAAGCTTTGATTTCAGTGTGTGTGGAAGACTAATAATGAAATTAAAATCAAAGGTTTTGGGAAAATAGGAACCTTGGGAAACATTTTTAGGGTAAAAGAAGGACCAAAGCCCATGTTTTTGATCATGAGAAACTTAACTGGAGTATTTGATGTCATAAAATAGCACTGGAGTTGGTCCAATCTCAAATTTTCAGAGCTTGAATTTTCAGCCATGGAAGCTGAAAACCTCATGCTCAAAATTGAGGTTTTTGAGGCAAGCATGGATCTAATTGAGCCAGCTGAGGGATAGAGAATACATAAAACGAGTAATCTAGGGTTTGAATCACTGGACTTGGTGGAACTATAAGAGAGGAATCAAGAAAAACCCGAAAACCTTGAACCTTGCGTCAAAACAGACCCGTTAAAAGAAGATGATGAATAGTGCTATTTTGACCCTAGCCACCCACAACAGCGTGTGAGCCACATAATCAGGGTGTGATTTCGACAGAAATATTCCTCCTCCCAAGACGTTTCCAACAAGATCAAGTTTGACCTGTTTTGACCCCATTTAACATAGATCTAAATTTGGTCATTTTATGCAATTTTGGATCACTGCAGTTTTTAGTTATTTAATTTAGGGATTATTTTGGTTTCAAATGGGATCCAGTTATAATGACTCTGAAATATCTTGTTTGTTTTGTTTGACATCATCCAGTATGTCATTTAAACTTATTCAGTGGTAGGTTTTTCCTATTCTGTGCTGGTATCTTGGTGTATTGTAAAGATAAAGAGACACATGTTGAACATCTAAAGACTGTTTTGCAACTTTTGAGGCAAAACCAGTTGTATGCCAATGCTAAAAAGTGTAGACTTGTGGTGGACACTTAGAGTTCTTGGGGTTTCCTGCGCCAGCTAAGGGAGTGGAGACAGATGCCATAAAGATTCAGGCTACCTCAAAGACATTGACAAAAATCAGAAGTTTTCATGGTTTGGCTACATTTTATCGAAGATTTATCAAGAATTTCAGCA